ATTGGCTTCCTAGAACGACATCATATTCAGTACTAAATCAGAGAAAACTTTTCTGAATGGACAATCTCCACCCTGCAGGTAGAGAAAATGCTGAGGCATGAGAAATCCTAAAGTTGATTCGCCAAGGTATATAATTGGATATCTGGAATTACAAAGAAAATGTTTCTGAAATACTAAGAAAAAAATTTTTTTTGAAGAGAAATTAAAATTCAAAATGTCAATTAGATCAATACAGGGCTTACTAGCTTTGTGATCTTGGACATGTTACTTAAGCTTCAGTTTCCTCATCTGGAAAATGGGGATAATAATTAGCCAGCTAACATGGACATAAAGGAGGATAATACTTATGGAAACTTTCAGGTTTCTGAGAGAATGGTTATTGGTGCTGTTTTTAAGAAACAATTTATAAATAATGTCAAACAAAGCTGGACAAATACATATAGAAGCACTTTTTAAAAGTAGTATTTCCCCTCATTTCCCCCTCCCCCAGCCACACATTTGGCAAATATATCTATGCTTTTGGAAAATAAAATTTTCTTTAGATGGACATGACCTGGAAGAATTTATCAACAAATTCTTCAGTGGAAAAGATCAGAGGATCATAAATTTAGAACAGAAAGGAATGTGACGTTACCTATTGCAGTGTTCATATCTATAGAGGAGGAAACTGAGGTCCACGGAGAAGTGACTTTCTCAAGGTAATGGCACAATTATTTCTTGGGGCTGGCTGTGATTTGAAGTGGGACCCCCTAACTCTAAATTCAGTAGTCCTTCTGCTTCATGTGCTCCCTGTAATTAGTTCATAAATAAATCGCAACTGACCAAATGATAAGTACTTAAGATCAATAATGTATTTTGCCTATTACTTAATACAATTAAAACTTAAAACATGCATGTGTACATACATGTATGTGTATGTGTGTTTGCATATCTATGCATGTGCATACTTGTGTGGATGTAAAAAAGAAATTATTTTTAACTATGATAGAAACAATCAAGATAAGTTTCATTTAAAATGCATTATCAATAACAAAATTGGTAAATTAAAGTGAAAGTGCGTTTAGATATCTTCAAAATTGCTAATAAAAATCTAACAGATGACAAACAATATTAAAAACATAGGAGAAAAAGGGAAAGAGTTGGAAGTTCCAAGGGGAAGATTTCTTAAGCTTTAGTTAAGCTTCAGGGAAGTATAAGAGTTAATACTTTAACAAACAATAATATTTTTCATTGAATATTTTAATAGTTGAAAAATAAATTAAGAATTAAGGTTAAGAATGTTTCACTTCCTCTAGTTAACTTTAGTAATAATTACAGGAAAACTTTAGGAGGCACATTAAATATATTCTAACAATATATGTAAATGGGCTGAATTTTCCCATTCTAAGAGAATTGTAGAATTGTAGAATAGTTCACACAACAAGATCTATTATTATTTTGCTTATAGGAAAGACGTTTAATATAAAAATATGTACCTAGGTGTAAATTAACAGGTTAGGTCTATGTGATGCTACTGCATTTAAAAAAAAATCATAAATGGGTAGTATTAGTATCTGACAGAGTAGAATTCAAATTGGAAAACATTGAAGGAAGTAGACAAGGCTTTCACTAAATAGTGGAAATAGAAAGGAATAACTAGTTTTTAATAGTTCTCAGTTTATGTGTCCCAGATAACTTAGTGGTTAAATATATTGAAAAAAGGTTATCAACAAATCAGGAAGCAGACAAAAGCATATTATAGTAGGAGACCTCAATATCCATTAATGGAATATGACAAAATCAATACAAAGATTGATAGTAATTCAATCACAGATTTGTACTGCTTAGTTAATATGTTAGAATTAGTACACTCACACACACACACACACACACACACACACACACACACAGGAGAGAATGAGTTCAAGAAGAGAAGCAGGGAATGTTCACATGGAACATTCACAGAAATTTAAAGTATAATTATAGAGAAGCCCGACATAAATTCAGAAAGGCAGAAATTATGCAAGCTATCTTTTTCAGACTTCTTAAAAGTGCCTTAGGTAGAGAATTTATTATATCTCTTTTTCTTTTTTACTGATAGATACTTAAAGTTTTTACATTTTCATTTATGTAAAACTTTGTTACTATTCCATAAATTCCAGTATGTTGTATCTATAACTTTCTTTATATGCATTCTGTTGTTACATTAACCAGGGTGTTGAGAGGAATTTTAATTTCTATGTTATTGTATGCCAACTTCAGAGTTATAAAGCCCTAATTTGAGTTTTTCTTAGGTACTTTTTTGGCTCACTTATCTTTTTTATTGATAGGCTTTCTCTCTCTCCTTCTCCCCCCCTACATACGGGCTCTAATATTTAGTGATCTTAGTGGTATAGACATGCTTGAGGATAGTATTCATTTGAAGAGTCCCATCACTTAATGACATGGGGTGGGAAAATGCTGAAAATCTGAGATGCTAAAAGAAAAAATATTTAACTCCGCTTTGCCAGTGACAAATGGTGCATCAGAATCTCCGTATACTCATCACAATTGGAGACCAGAAAGATCTGGTTGGTTATTTAAGTATTTGGAGTAATAGGAAGCTATGTATACCATATAGGTATTGTAAGTTATCAGTAAATTAGTTTGAATGACATGTACTGTATCATCTGGATGCTAAGTGCATATCATCATATTGTTTGATGACTAAGAAGGCATTTCACCATCTTTTGTTTCTGCACAGCCATTATTATTAACATGAGCAGCAATTATGGTGTTGTAGACTGAGTACATAGGAGTATTAAAAGTGTTTCACAATGACAGGATAATCATGTCTTCAGAATAGTACTTAAGAACTACAGTCAAACTCATAACCGATGAATGGCTTCTCTTGGACTGAATGCTGCTTGTGGAAGGTTCATAGAAGAAATATTTATTTTTGGAATGCTATAAAATGGGACTTATTTATACTTCAGCTTGTTTAGCATTATTAATGACTTGGAAATGCTTATCTTAGATGGCATTCTTATCAAATTTGTAAATGTTGGGTGACAGAATCTTATAAAAAAACAAAACAAAACATTGTGATGGGTTAAAACACGGGGCTGTCTTAATAAAAATAAATTAAACAAACAATATTTCATTTATGCTAAAAAAACTGACTTTCCAAATCATTGACCCTGTGCGGTGTTTAGTTTTTTGCCAATGTAAATATTGCTTCACTGAATTTTTAAAAGTGTCTTTGTCATGTTGATGTGTTTAAGTAGTTTTTTTTACATATTTCTAATTATTAAATTTAGCTGGTTAAGTTAGTAATTTTCATTTCTTCTTCTGAGTACTGCCTGTTCATATTCTTTAACCACTTATCTTTGGAAAATGGATATGATTGCTAAAATTTCATTTCAGTTCCCAGATTTTGACAAGATGGACTTTTATCAATAACATTTTTAGCAAAGATTTTTCTTCTGATGGGTTTCCTTTTTACTTGAGATTCTTTTTGTTGTGTAAATGTGCTTCAGTTTTGTATAATCATGTCCCTTTATTTTGTCTGCTATGATTTATCTGTTTAATAGTAAAAGTTTTCCACCTGTCCATCATTGCCACAGATATACCATTTAATTATATTCTAATTTATAAATTAGTTACTACTATTTGTGTCATTTCCTATATTTTCCTTGGTTCTTTTCTCTTGAATACCAACATGCTTCTGGCATAAAGCTGTGAGTCATAGAACACAATAGTTCTAAAGAAATGAAAGTGGTGGGGCAGCTGGATGGCGCAATGGATAGAGCGCTGGCTCTGGCTTCAAAAAGACCTGAGTTCAAATTTGGCCTCAGACACTTGACACTTACTAGCTGTGTGACCCTGGGCAAGTCACTTCACCCCATTGCCTCGCCAAAAAAAAAAGGAAAGTGGAAATCATGTGGGGGGCAGTGGCGAGGCCCATGGTGGGTGTGAGCTGTCACTGACATGTGAGCACCTTCAAAGAGAAATGAGGACAAGGGATGTTATCAGTGAAGTGTATGATAGAAAAAGAAGATAGACTTTGGCAAGAGGAGGAGTCAAAATGTGGCTCCCCTGAGGCGCCCCACTTGTATTCCCCCAGTGTCTGAAGAAAGCCAGGCAGGCCCCTTGGATGTTGAGTGGCCTCCTGTGAGGAGCCTCAGAAAGGACCCTAGAAAAGAGTTGCTCAGGACGGATGGGTTGGGATGTGCATTATTGCAAAGAACATCCAAATTGATGGGATCATAGTTCCAGTTTAGTATTTTAGATCAGTGATCCCTTTGGAATGTATTGTGGAATATGAGGTGGAATGTAAATCTAATCCCATTTTTCATCTTACTGCTCTTCAGTTTTTCCAACAGAAATTGAATAAGTGATGCCTTCTTTGTTTTGTGATATTGGTTATATAAATCACGAGTTTATTATGTGTCTTTGCTTCTAGTTTTGAATTTTCAGATCTGTTGTATTAATCTTTTATTTTTTATCTAGTATGATATAGTTTGGTTGTGGGTGATTTAATAATAGTCTTTTATAATTATAATAACACCAATTTACATAGCAATGTAAGATTTATTTTTTCTTTTTTTCCTAACAACTGTTTGAGCCATAGAGTCCCCATGTTATTATCCCCTATTTGACAGATGTAGAAATTAATCTTTAGAGAGTTAATTGCCTTGCCTCCCCTCATAGCCTGTGTGTGCAAGAGCCACCATATTCAGGCACTTGAAGAACACGAGGCTATGAGTACCTGATATTTTTCATCCTTGCGATCAGAACAAAACTCCTCCTGATTGTCCTTCCCCAACTCCCCCTTTATATTTTTGTTTGTTTGTTTGTTTTTGAGGCATTTGGGGTAAAGTGACTTGCCCGAGGTCACACAGTTAGTAAGTGTCTAAGGTTGCATTTGAACTCAGGTCCTTCTGACTACAGGGCTGGTGCTCTATCCACTGAACCACCTATCTACGCCATTTTATGTTTTGTTTTTCACTCTTGCACTATGATGCTTTCCGTCCCTACAGCTCAGCTTTCACTGTTGCCCTACAAGCCTTCTGGAAGTGCCGAAATGTACTACGTTCCAAGCTCATTGGAGCCATCCCAGTATCCTGTTGCCAAGTCAGAGACCACTCTGGAGAGCAGCCACTCAGGTAGTATGTGGATCTTTGGTTTATGAAAATATTGTTGGCGTTAGCTCCCCGTGGTAAAGTGTAAAGATTGGAAGTACTTCAGTATTCTTTGTACACTGTTCATCGGGGTTCAAATAGCTGAACAGTGGAGGCATTTGGTAGTGGGTCTGTCTAAGAAAGAAGCTCGTTTTGTTTTATCTCCTCATCCTCGCGGTTCTGCGTTGTTCTTAGGTGATAAGCATTGAGAACTTTAGATCTTGTTTTTAATAGGCATTCACGTACCTCTGTTGACTGGGTTCTATCTACTAAGTGATCTCACTCTGGTATTGTACATGCCACTAGACTTGTGCCCCACTTCCAAGGTACATGTGTACCACATGTGTATACATAAATAAGTATGCACAAACTAAATACAAGGTAATTTTCTGCAGGAGGGATGGGTGAAATAAGGAAACACGGCCTCTTTTGAAGGAATTTGATGAGGTAAGAAGTGATGTATCCTCCCAGCACAGAGAACAGCCTGTGCTCAGATGGAGGGCCATGCTTCAGGAGCAGTGAGGCCAGTTTGATGGGACTCTAGATTGTGCAGATCAGTCAGGCATATTAAGTGCCTAGTGTGTGCTTGGCACTGAGAAGGCAAAGCTCTGGGGAGATAGAAAGAGCAAAACTAGTGTCTGCCCTCGAGGACCTTGTGTTCTACTGGGAGAGGCCACAGAGTACACAAATGGGTACCCCCAATAGATGTGTAGAGCGGATGGCCTGAGGGGGAGGCCCAGGTGCCTGGGAGATGCATGCTGGGGCAGCAGGTAGAAGAGCGGGAGGTCAGTGGTGACCAGAAACGTGCCAGAGTTTTGATGAGGGCATAGGAGAGCTGACAGAGTTGGAGGATTCGCGGAGGGCCCACCTGGCTCACAGGTTTCCTCTCCAACCTGCCCTGGCTGTGATTCTTTTCTTGGGGAGGGGGAGTTGACCGTTTTATCTTCCTTCTGCTTTCCTGAGGTTTTCTCCCCTCCATATTGGCCCCCATCTGCAGACTTGGGGCTCTCCCTCCTCACCTCCACCACCTCCTGGTCTCCTTGGTTCCCAACTGCTAGTGCCTTCTCTCTGAGACTGCCTTCCATTTACTCTGTGTATATGTCACATACACATAGTTGTTGTGTTCCCCTTTAGGATGTAGGCTCCTTGAGGGCAGGGATTGTATTTTTTCCTTTCCTTTACCACCACTTAGCATGGTGTATAGTAAACACTTAATAAATATTTGTGGTTGCTGACTGACCTCCCATATTCACTGCCTTTCAACTGTATGCCCTCACGGCCATATTGTCAGACTCTTCATTACCCAGCATGACTCTGTCTGCCCAATTCTGAACTCCACAATTTCATTTTCCAGCAGTACTCTCTTATCCTCTGAGTCTTGCCTACCCTCTCAATATACCTGTTTTTTGAACTCTTGTCCTTGGCCCTTCCCTTTCTTCACATCTTCCTTTCAGCCCAGTTGTATCCTACAGTTTGATTAGATGCTTCGATGATTTTTTTTTGCCCTTCTGCTTTCTTGATTGGTGCACTGTGAGCTCTGGCTAGCCCCACAACCTCTCCTTTCTCTGCTCCTCAGGCTAATGATGTGCCTGTATGGTGGTGACCAGCAGTTTCCTTGGTGTCAGCGCATCCTCCATTTACACAACTCACAATTCCCTTTAACTTAGAAGAAAGGTCTTTGAGAGTTACTGTAGCTAAAATGTACTGCTTTGTTTGCAATATGAGTAAAGAAATAATTAGAGAGCAAGCAGTGTTCTGAATGAGATTGTCACATGACCCAGGTGTACTGAAAGAATTGGTATATGCAATTGGAGGAAGAGGGGGAGAATTTGGAGCCTGGCAATTGTCCTGATTTTCAAAAAAAAATTTATACACACACATACACCCCCCCATCCACACCCACACCCACCCACACCCACACACAGTTTGCACACGTATATACATAGTTTGCATGCCAGTATGCTTGACTTCAATTCCTGACATCATTATAGAATCTATCAACTAAGGAACAATTGGGTAGTGAATGTTGAGACAATGAGGCAGCGATTACAAAGGGCTAGTGTGGCTGGCTTCAAGTTGAGGTCCTGTGAAACCAACCTTATTTCCTTGTTTAGCATGAATGCTGACTGAGTAGATTTGGGGAATGTTCAAGATAAAGTTTGTGTGGATTTAGCAAAGCATTAGATAGTCTTTTATTCAGGAAAGACCTCTGGTGCGAGGGCTGCCGATCCCTTTTTGGGGCTGCTTTCCACCTTTGGCGTCTACCTGATCCACCCAACTTTCATCTGTGGCTCTGAGAAACTGTAGCCTGTGTGGTGGCCACACCCTGGTAAACTGCCTCAGCAGACAGGCTGAACCAGGTTGAGGCTAACCTATGGGACTCAAAACCCATTGATGAGTTAGGGGGATATCTACCTGAAGCATGGGAACACTTTTCTTGACAAAATGGGTGCGTAAGAACAGTTTGTTCCAACAGCCACGAAGGCAGCTAAAGCAGGTCCTGTGGAGGGCTTAGAGCTTGGTTAGACATCGAAGACACCAAGATCATCCACTGTATCCTGAGCCATCACCAGTTGTCTTCTTGACTTTGTCTTGCTTTTTACTGGACTCTAATGACCCTGACAGAGAGAGCAAGGCTGATAACTTCACCCAGCTCTTGCCTCTCTTAATCCAATTTATGTGTGAATCAAAAGACGTCATCTACACTGTTTTACCTTTTTTTTAGCCTACCTCAAAGTCCCGTGGTGACAGGCAAGTGATGAAGCAGTAGGTACAGATACATAGGGAGCTATAGTCACAACCCTTCACACAGGTGGCCCAGGCCATAGGGTCGTCTTCTCACTGGAAGCACCAGTGGGATTTGGCAGCCTCATGGTGTCTGAGCAGCTCTTTAAGGATCTCACTGCTCATCTCCTGGTGTGAGGAAGAGGCTTGAAAAAGTGCCCTAAAAATGGTCTGCTCACCTAAGCCTGTCTTGAGTACTGCAGTAGGCAGGGATCCCATCCTATGAACAAAACACAAAAAAAGTACAAAAACTTCTGCCAAGATGATTCCATTCACCATTGGTACATGGAACGTGTGCACACTTGAAGAAAATAAAAAATCCAACAGACCTGAAAGATGAACAGCTCTTGTTGGGAGAGAACTCGGGAGGTATCCCATCTAAAGAGCAGCCCTGTGTGAAACAAGGCTGGCACATGAAGGCCAGCTTACTGAAGTCGGAGCTGGATGCGTATTTTTCTAGGATGGCTGCAGTGAAGGGGAGTGCCAGGAAGCTGGTATCAGTTTTGCAGTCAAAACTAATCTAGTCAACAGGCTTGTATGCCTCCCAAAAGGAGTGAATGATAGGCCCATGACAGTGCGATTGCTACTTGTGGAAAAGCTCACCACCATCATCAGTGCCTATGCTTCCACCATGATGAACCCTGATGAGGTCAAAGAAAAATGTTATGAAGACCTGGAGACCCTCATCATCAATGTGCCAAAAGAGGACAGGCTTATTTATAATTCTGGGTGACTTTAATGCCACAGTAGGCACAGAGTGCAACTTGTGTGTCTCATGACCTTTTCATCTCCAACACTGTCTTCCATTTACCTAAATGCAACAAAATTTCATGGATTCACCCTTGCAGCAAACATTGGCATTTAATAGACTATGTGATTGTAAGAAGAGACAGGATGTGAGAGTGACGAAGGTGTGGAACAGAATGCTGCATTGGTCATAGGCCTGTCCTTTCCAAGCTAAATATTTGCATTTAACCCAAATGGTGGCCCCAAGGCAAAATGACTATCAGAAGACTTAATGTCAGCAGATTAGAGCGCTTCTCTGAGAGCAAAGAGTTCCTTGCTAACTCAGAAGGAAAGTACAATCAACACGCGGTTGGCAGCAGTGGAGCAGAAAAGGAGCAGGCAGCTTTTAGGTATTGGGGGTACAGCACTGTGTTTACTCATCTGGGTTAGAACACTTGCAAATATCAAGATTGGCTTGACGAAAAAGATGGGGAAATTCGGAAGCTGCTAAATGAAAAACGAGAATTCCGTAGGGGTTTACCAGTAGAATAGTTCATCTGCCTCTCAGAAAGCAACATTTAACCCTATCAAAAGTAAAGTGAAAGTGAAGCTTACAGAAATGCAGGATTCTTGGCTTAGTAAGGAGGCAAATGAAATTTAGTTTTAGTAACAATCCAAAGTGCTTTTATGATGCCCTGAAAGCTATTTATGAGCTAAAGACTTATGGTGCATCTCAGCTACTCAGTGCTGATGGAGCCATATTGATTAATGATAGGTACATGTCTTGGAGAGATGGGGTGAACACTTCCCTAGTGTTCTCAACAGACCATCATCAATCAGTGCTGAAACCATTGACCATTTACCTCAGGTAGAAGTCAACCCCTCTCTAGCTGAATTTCCAGCTGAAGAAGAGGTTGTAAATGCCATTAGGCTCCTTTCATGTGGCAAAGCACTTGGTGCTGATTCTATTCCAGCTGAGATTTAAAAGGCAGGAGGTCTACTGGCCATTCAAAAGCTGACTGAAACTTTCTGGGTTTTATGGCAGGAGGTTATCCCCCATGAGTTCGAGGATGTCTCCATTAGCCATTTCTGTAAACATAAAGAAAATAAATTGTCCTGTGACAATCATGGGAGGGTCTCTCTCTTAATCGCTGCTGGCAAGATTCTTGCCAAAGTCCTTAGTAGACTGATCCTTCACCTGGAAGATGGTCATCTACCTGAGAGTCCGTGTGGCTTCAGAACGGGCCAAGGAATGGTTGATATGGTGTTTGCTGCCCAGCAACTGCAGGAGTAATGCCAGGAGCAGAACAGAGGTCTGTACACAACGTTCATTGATCTGACCAAGGCCTCTGATACTGTAAGTCATGAGGGCTTGAGGAAAATTATGTCAAAATTTGGTTGTCCGGAGAAGTTCATCAGTATTGTAAGTCAGTTTCATGATGGCGTACTTGCCTGGGTTCTGGGTAATGGACGATGCTCTTGGGTTTTCCCAGTCACCAGTGGAATGAAGCAAGGCTGCATGCTTGACCCGTGCTTTTTAGCATCATGTTTTCAGCAGTGTTGTCAAATGCTTTCAGTCAGGATGAACATGGTATCAAGGTCAGCTACCGCACCGGTGGTAAATTCTTCAACTTGAAAAGGCTACAAGCCAAGACCAAAGTGGAGGAAGTGTTGGTGCATTATTTTCTGTTTGCAGCCTCTGAAGCTGAGATGCAACAAAACAGAGACTGATTCTCTGCTGCTTGTGCTAATTTTGGCCTAACAGTCAATACTGAGAAAACACAGGTGTTCACACCAGCCAGTACCACACCATCCATACGTGGAACCAATTGTTATAGCAAATGGAGAAGTTTTGAGTGTTCCATGTGTCTCTCTCTGGAAAGTGTACTGCCAAGGTAAATGACTGAACAGCAGCAAAACTATTTAATGTAAAGAGTTATTGTAGGTAGAGAAATGCTCCAAAACTCACCCCAGAATAAGAAATAACTTCATCAACTGTAAGCAAGAGACTGAAAGGAAAAAGACTTCCTGAATACATAGAATAAATGAAATGAGAAAAAAATGGAGGAAGCAATTAGAATCCGTAACTTAGAACAGAAGGTGGTAAGCATTACCCAAGTGAAGAACTCCCTGTAAACTGGAATAATTCAAAGAAATCAGTGACTCTGAGATAATAAATATTGATTTAGAGAGTCACACATTCTTTCAGACCCTCAGGTCCTCAAAGAGTTTTAAGGGAGTTAATTAAGAAAAGTGAAGAACTGGGCACGAATTAGTTCTATCTTGAAGCTTTTAAGAGGAGAGGGGAAAAGGATGGTAAAAGGAATGCTCTAGTGTGGGAAGGAAGAAGAAGCTAGTTGAACTTTTCTCATCATTGGTGTCTTTTGAGAACAGTTTACCAACATGGAGGAGTGGGGGAAGCGTCTAAAGAAGGTCATTCTTCTCTGAAGTAGACAGTGTAGAGATACATTACAGCCACCAGGGAGACAGGTGGGCATCAGGCAGGCAGTACTGAGGGGGAAGGATGTTACTGTGCAGACTTCCTAGTCCTGAAGTGAGGACGACGAGGGATCAAAAGAAAAAGAAAGAACTGGAAGCTAATGGGTACTTATCATTTGGGGAAAGCTGAATGCATTGTGATCTGTGAATAGGATGAAAGAGGGAGATGCTTTAAAAAATGAGGGAAAGAGACACTTTGAGAGAGTTGTAGGAAGTGGAGGACTGATGACAAGAGCTGACTCCAGAGGAGGAAGACAGCGACACGCTGCCCACCCCTGTCAGGAAGGAGAAGGATATGCATTTGGGGCGTGGCCTTGATGGATTTGTTCAGTGTGGCTCTGCTTCTCTGTTACGAGGTCGGTGGTGGTGGGGGTGATTTCTTTCTTGTTTCTAGATGGTAGGTGGGTTGGAAAAAGTTGAAAGAGGGGTAAAATATGATGATGGCGAGGAGGAAAGAAAAGAGAGGAAGAGGGCCATGAAGACATGTAAAAAATGTGGCAAGGAATCCAGAAGGAAGCCCAGGGAGTGGGACCAAACTCAAGCAGTGGGTTGGATTTCTTCACTTTAAAAGAAAATCAAGTAGTATTGGATCACAGATTCATAGCTGCTCCTATTTCCTCTTTTTCTTCCCTTTTGTTTTGTTCATTAAATTCAGGATTTTTTTTTTTAAAGGAAAGGCTAGAAAAGGACCACAGCCAAAACTTGAAAAGGAAGTTGCTGGGTCGGCCATCTCAGATGGGCTGTGAGGATGTGAGTCCTTACCTCAAGGCTTTATTTACAGTGGGTAGGAGTATTTCCCAGCCTTTATTACTGTCATTTTAATTAGTGTATATCTGGTCCCTTTCTTGTTGTGTTGAGGTGGTAGGTTCTCAGATTGTGCAGGGAATCACTTCCTCATTTTACTTCTCATTTTTTTGCTCACCTTCCCCCTGCTTCTTATGTGTCTTGGGGATTCTGTTGGTTAGAAATATTGGAGTATGGAACTACATTTTAGAAGAAAATTAACTAGCACTTGGCTTTATTTTTTCCTTGCTTTTTTCATGTTCTACTTTTTTTTTTTTTGGTGAGATGATCGGGGTTTGGTGACTTGCCCAGGGTCATACAGCTAGTATATGTTAAGTGTCTGAGGCTAGATTTGAACTCAGGTCCCCCTGATTCCAAGGCCAGAGCTCTATTCACTGTGCCACCTAGCTGCCCGGCTCTCCTTTCTTTTTATAATGTACTGTGACTCATGTTTCAGGATGTTGCCTCTGAAAGCCGGTGAGGTCTTTGTAGGTCTTGTCTCTCACTGTGTCCCCCCGGTTCCTTTTCCTTCTACAGGCTCCAATGATGCCATTGCTCCAGATTTTCCCCCTGAAGCCCTGGGCACAAGGGATGAGAACGTGTCCGATATCGTAACCATCAAGCACAAAGAAGGCATCTACAGCAAGAAGGCCGGGCGTAAGGCAGCCTGGCCTGCGGAACGAAACCCCACCCCAAAAGACGTCTCCGGTACGTGCTTTACAGCTTTTTGCCCTTTGGGCTCTCCTGTGTTTAAAGTCCCTGTTCTGCCAGATGCCTTTTCAATTCTCTTTTGTGCTTAACTAATTAATGCCCCTCTTGGACAAGTAGTAAAGTCCAAGGGGCCAGAGCGTGAGCTCGCCAGGTTAATGTACCTGGACGAGTCGCTTCACCTCCTAGTGCCCCAGACCACTCTGTCAGACTCTGATCTGCCCTGGTCAAGGGACTGTCTCCATAGGAGGCCCTTCAGTGACCTTGGAGATGCAGGTCAAACTGCGTGGCTAGGTGTCTGTGGGTGGACTGGCGACCATCATGGCACAGTCAGTACTCTGTTGAGAGCAGAAGTCCAGTTTTTATAATGTATGGTTTTGTGTAAAACCCTTGAGATTTTCCATGATACTCTGAGGTACTCCATTACATCCTTTATTACAAGTGCAATGTTATCCGATGGCGTTTATGGTAGAGCAGCAGCTGGCTGTGTGAGTTTCAGAAATCAGAATCGTCAATAAATCTAGATGAAATGAAATTGCCTTATGGATTTCAATTGTACATATAATTGATGTGGTGCTGGCATGCACTCGTGAGGATTAGATGAGATATGGCTGTACCCACATCTGTTCTGCATGGCACTAGCTTGTCGGGCTCCTGGGCTTTTTGCCTTGCCAGCTCAGCAGTAGATTTCATTTGATTGGATTTCAATGCGACTCCTCAGAACCTGAGAAAAGAGTACTATACCTTTGGAAACTAGGTTTTGATGCAATTTAACCTTCCATATACATGGGAAAAGACTGCAAAAAGGGTTATGTGGTCTGTGGCAGAGGCTGGAATGAAAATAAGTGCCTCAACATGGCACATTTGGACTAGCACTGGTGGCTCCATATAATGACTCAACATAGCATCTTAAATATATTTATGAATAACCCTGTGAAAAGTCTAGTTTCCAACTGTTAAAGGACACTTAGCAATGGAATATGTTTCATGCCTCTGGTTGATTGATTGAATATGTTGGTAACCTTTAAATATGATTAGTTAGACAAATTATGGTGGTAGAAATTACTGACGGTAAATAGGGTTACAAAACTTATTGGAGCATGAGAAGGCATGATCTGTGCTTCAGTATTTTTAATTAGGTAAGTGATTTCATAGAGGAGCAGTGCCTGTCTGCAGATGCCATAAGAGAATGCCCTTCTTTATCTGACTAGACAGATTTTCTGAGTTACTGTACATATATCTTGTATGGATTTATGTGTTTAGATATTGTCTCCTCCATGAGTATGAGAGCTCTTTGAGAATGGAGACTGGCTGTTCTCATTCCGTCATATGCCCGGCCCTTAGGCCAGCGCCTGGCATATAGTAAGCACTTGATAGCTGCCTCTTGACTGTGGCCAGAAATATTCATTATCCAGTAGTCAGTCTTTTGGGAATGAGACGTTCTAAACTTGGGTGGTTTTGTCTTTGGATGAGATAGATGACCCATTGTTGGACCCCGCCCCCTGTATTTGAAGTCTGTCTAGTGTAGTTGAAAGGGTGTGCGCTTCTCTGGCAAAGCCTTCTAGGGGCCAGCGCCAACTCCAGGCAATGATAAAGTGTCATATGAGGATTCTAATGCAGGTCCGTGTATGTCTAATCTAATTATACAGCAAGGGCCAGCTTTAGCCTGCTAATCCTATTACTGAGCATGTACACTAAGAGTGCTGTCATAAAGGAGAAAATGTGTGTGTGTAAAATTATGTCTATAATATTTATGCAGTCATCCCATGACATTTGAGGGGGCTAGGGGTGCAGGACTCCCACAAGTGTGAAAAGCTGCAAATGACCCTAGGCCCCACCCCAACCTTTATTCTGATAATTCTGATCACATTTATTTAATGCACAGAACAAAAAAACAACGTGCCACACGTAAAAAGTGGCGGTTTCTACACGAGAGAGGTTGGTATCTTGCACACTATGCAGAATTTTCACAGCCCATGGTGTAGCTGCAGCATCTGCTTTAGAGACAAGGATCACTGGGGAGGAAATCCTGTGACTGCATCTGGATGGTAGTGAGACAGAGGAGAGCATGTAGCCTGTAGTTCTTCAGTGCACTGAAACATTTAACTGTTTATAACAAATTTATGTACATATACTTATGGTAGTAAATAATAAAGCAGATGGATAAAATGCAGTATTTATGCATTTATGACCTAGTAAATTTCTTTTTTTAGTCTTTTCATATGCACATCACCTGTAGTTTTCTGCCACAATCTCCAAAAATTTCCCTTTAATTATCGATGGCCAACCTGCGAATAACCAAAACCACGCATGTGAAACTCGCGAATGTTGAACATGATTGTAATTGCAAAGAATGTGAAAAACCAAGTTGTCCAAGAGTTGGTAGAAGGCAGAATCGACATTGGCCCAGCTATGTGGTGCAGTACTACAGTGCCATTAAAAATGATAAGCGTCAAGACTTTGAGAGGCAGTGTGGTGTTGTACAAGGACCATTGGGCAGTTGCGTTCATCTCTGAGGTTGTTTCCTCATCTGTAAGATGGGTACAATACTAGTAGTAGTCCTCGCCTTGCCAAGTTGTCATGTATGTAGAGCTCTTCGTACGTCTTAAAGCACCACGTCAAATCAGCATTAAGTGCCTGCTTTGTGACAGGCACTGTGCTAAGCCCCGGCCAAGGGAGGAAGGTGGTACATGAGAAGAAGCTGAAGGGGAGTGGGCATGATGGAAACAGGCTGGAGGGGTGCCAGGGCAGCGGGCACAGGGGAGGAGCAAGTGCTGAGCTCATACGATCCCAGGGGCTGCTGCAGCATGTTCTCACATATAGAAAATCACATTGATCTTTTTGGTTTCCAACTCTGTCTTTGGGAGTGGTGAGAGAACCATTGAATTTTAAAGTCAGAACTTTTCTCATCAGTCATGTCGGCCAATTCCCTCATTTTGGAGGGGAGCAGAGCAGGGCTCTGGGATGACTCGGCAGGCTCCCCAGCTAGTGGAGGGAGAGCTTTTGAGCTGAGAGGTGTGAGGTCACCACAGACTCGGGTCCAGAGGGTCTAACCCTCTATATACAGACAGGTTAAATTAGGAAGGAAGTGATAACTTTGATGAAATGCTGTACTGTCTGTCATCTCCTTCATCTCTTGACATCTGTTTTTCTATGCCTACAGAGGGGAAGATGAATATGATTGTTATTTCAAAGGAAATAACATTTGTTTCTGAAGTCTTTCAAAGCTAATTATTCTCCTTTTCTTTCCAGAATCTACAGATCAGTTGGAACTTGAAAACACTACCCATTCTGTGTTCAAGTCGGCCCAGTTTTACTTTCACCATCCAGTGCACCATCAACATGATCATGATTTCTTTTCCTGCTGTGAGCCCTGGGGAAGGGGAGCTTTCCTGGCTCATTCCAGAAGAGACAAAGACCCTTGTTTCAGTCCACCTTTTGAAACTTATGAAGATGAGCATAGATTCTCCCCCTTACAGACTGAAATGGATTACACCAGGATAGAGAGGTACTGCTGGAATGTTGGAGGTGGCAGAGATCCAGGGGCTGGGCAGAGGCTTGAAGAGAATCTCAAAATTGGTAGTAAGATGAGCAGTGGGCAAGAAACCTCAAGGATCCGCTTTTCCCTAGCCCAGACCCTTGAGCCCAGTGCCACTTTGAATGAGCTCTGGAACAGGTTTCAGGAGCGACAGAAGAAACAGAAGCCACCTACTTCCACCTCCTCAGATGAATTATCCTTGGTTGATCGTCTTGATCGCCTGGCAAAGGTCCTTCAGAAGCCCATGATGCTCTCTCTTCAGGTGTCCCAGCCTGCCCGAGATGATTGCAGAGAAGAGAGCACGCAGCAACAGAGGAGAAGGAAGCACCAGCTAAAGAAGAAAGACAAAGATGAGTCTCTGTCTTTTCACAGAGCAAGGTTGCCCCCCCAGTCTCCATTTGGACTAGTGGGTAGGAACCAAATGAAGCCCACCTGTCCCCAACAGCCAGGACTGGATTCTGTAAGCCCCATCTCTTCAGATTCTAGGCCCTCCCCCGAGACGGAAGATCCTATGTTTGAGTCAGATGTGACTACCCAGACTGATGGGGAAGCAGGCCCACTTGCGGAGATGAGCAGTGACGTGTCCATCATTGACCTGGCCCGGATAGTCCAGAGAAGAATGCATGTATCACCTACACGGCAGCAGAAACACTTGTCTGAGAGGCAGAGAGAAGAGAGTAGGAAGGTAGCCAAGTGGAAGAAAAGCCCCCCAACCTCTCCTCAGCTCAGAAGGAAAGGCATGCAGGTACATAGGTACTGGAACTAAGATAGCATGGTGGAATTCAGTGTGCCTTGCAGGCAGGATGGAAAACCCTTTCCCCTTCTTGTTAGTACCCACAGATAATATCTAACCGGCTGGAAGAGAGTAGAGGCCCCTTCTCTGAGCACAGGCCATTGTTTTCATCAAGCACTTGCTGAGCCCCTAGCTGCGAGCCCTCACCCTCCTTCTCCCTCCTTCTTGTTCTCTGTCACTGTGTCTCTGTCCCTCTCTCCACATACACATACAAATATACATATTGATATAGATGTTCTGTTTTTGGTCTTTGTTTTCCTAGTGCCTAGTACAGTGTGTGGCACGGGCAGGCACTTGCACTCCTATTGATTCATTGAGAGGTCAGCAGATATTTATGTTGTGTACTTTGGGTATTCACTTCCCCAAGGTGCTCCAAGATTTGCAAAACTGGTATAGGAAAGCTTGCTTCCATACCATGTACTGCCCGTCATATGAGACCCATCTAACAATAGAATATATTTTTTAAGGACTTTTTTTAGTGGTGGAGTATGATTTGTAGTGATCTCACTATATTTGATCTCTCCTTGGGATTAGAGAGACATGTTTATAAGCCAGCTGGGCAGGATCAGGGAAATAAACTATAGCCATGGAATATGGCAAAGCTAATTGGTAGTATGGGTATTGAATCCACAGGCTAGGCATGACAGCAACATCTTCGACCTAATTGAGCCACCTTTTTGTTTTAACAATCCATTTTTGTCCTTATTTCTTTTAGACCCTGGGCTTCCCGGTACATGGTATTTACATATCTAGGTGGATTTAAGTTAAAGGAGGGGTTCTGTTACTGCTTTACTATTTTTTTTGGTACCCACCCCTGGACCTGCTTAAGAAAATTAAATAAATGTGCTGGGTAGACAGCAGATACATGCTGTCTAGTTTTACTTGGGTTCTTGTTGCTGTCATCTTGATGCTTTTACTTATCCCTTGGGGACTCTGTTAAATTCTACCCTGAAGCTGTTTTAGGTGTTATCGATTCTCTCTAAACTTCCGTCCTTAGCCAGCATCTGACCTTCCCTCCTTCACAGAGAAAATGTACATTTCCTCATCTCCCTTTCTTCACCTAAAAAGCCTTTTCTCTAATCATACTATCATTACCTGAGATTTCATTCTTTTTTCTCTTCCCTTGTGACCCAGATGAGGTGTCTTTCTTCTTTTTGACTTGTGTTTTTGATGCTATTACTACCTCTCATATCCTTCTTCTCCTCTTCCTACTCCATCAGTTAGCTACTCTTTATCTTCCCTTTCTATTGACCCCTTTCTGTGTGGTTATAAAAATGTTCAAGTTTTTTCCATCTTCTCCCTCCCCCCAAAATCCAAGTGAATTAAATAAAAAACCCATAAATCTTCCCTTGAATCTACCTTTGGGGGCTACATTTCTAGCATTGTATTTAAGTCTGTAACATCTTTCTTTGTCTTTCTGTTCGATTTGTGATACTCTGTTAGTAGAGTATTGAAGTTCCCTGTTTAAATGTTTTTCTTTTCAAGTCATTTTACCATTCAGTTAACTTTTCCTTTAAGAATTCAATTGCTATACCATTTGGTATATTTTTATGTAGTATTGTCATTGATTCACTAGAAGAAGCATGGTGTGGTAGATCAAGAGCTGGCCTTGAAGTCACTGGTAAGGCTCAAACCCAAGTCTTGCTGACTTTGAGGCCAGTTCTTCTTCTTCTTCATTCCAGGAACTAAGTATAGAATTTGGTTATACATTATCTCATTTTACCCTTAGAACAATCTTGTGAGTTAGGTACCATAGATATTATTAGCTTCCTCTTCCAGATGATGTTAAAGGGAAAATTCTTTGTTTGGGCTTTTACCCTGGTTAAGAAGGCAAAACTCAGGATGAAGAGAATTAAAGAGTTTGTTAAAACTATGTCAAGTTAGCATACTAAAAAAATGTATGTCAAGGTAACAACATGCTGATAGGCTGATCACTGGGGATCTGCAGTCACTTCGAGATGGGGCCCACTTTTGTTGATAACTTTTGGAATGAGGTAAAGACAGTTCGGATAGGTCCACATCAGTAAAAGAGGGTGAGTCATTGCATTTCATTTCCTCCCGGAGGTAGCAAGTACATAACAATTTCCAGGTAGGGGGATCACTTACTCCACGATGAATCTGACTGAGTGACATCCTCTGTCTACCTCCCAAGCACTGATGGACAAGCAGGTCTGGTCACTGAGTCAACCCAACTTTCAATAATGAGGAAACTGAAGATGTGGTCACACATTTTTAGTAAGTGTTAGAAGTAAGATTTGCACATGACACAGGGCCAGGGGCCTTTTACCCTGCATTCGCAGCTGAGATTAGATTCCATAAATTTGCAGTAGCCCCAGGCAGACATGGTCGCATGACTTCCCTAGCAGAAGACGAGGGTAGTGAGAGTAGTGCTGAGTTGGGGCATGGCCAAGCATGAGCAATGTTGGAACAGTGGGCGGGAGACTTGAGAGAAGAGGGCTTTGCAAAGCTGGGCTGGTCAACTGGAGGGTCAGGATTGGAGGCAGAGGAAAGTGCTGCAGAACAGTCGTTTTATTTCTTCCCAGTGAGTTGCTCTCACATTCCCTGGAGCGATACTCAGCCGTAGCCTTTCTTTTCTCCTGAAACCTTAAGCCACACTGTGTCTGCCCCTAGCGCTTTTCCATGAAGAAGCTATACTTTACTGCAAAAACCAAGGCCATTTTCAGGAGATGGCTGTTGGCCCTCATTTTGTATCTCAGTGTCCCATAGTATCTTCTCCAGGGGTGTGCTAGAGCCAGCTCTAACCAGCCGATTTTTTTCCTTTTTTTTTCTTTTGTTTTTTAGGCAATTTGGGGTTAAGTGACTTGCCCAGGGTCACACAGCTAGGAAGTATCAGATGTTTGGTCTGAGACTGGATTTGAACTCAGGTCCTCCTGACTTCAGGGTCAGTGCTCTATCCACTGCGTCACCTAGCTGCCCCCTGGGCAACCAAGTTTTGACATAATTTTCCACAAGCTCTCACAACTGACAATATCAAAGTCCTTGGTCATATCTATAAACATCGTGTACAGACCTCTGTTCTGCTCCTGGCATTTCACCTGGAGTTATTGGGCAGCAAACACTATATCAACTATTCCTCAACTCTTTTTGAAGCCATACTGGCTCTCAGGTAGATGACCATCTTCCAGGTGAAGGATCAGCCTGTTAAGAAGGACGCTGGCAAGAATCTTGCCAGCGGTGACTAAGAGAGAGACGCCCCTGTGATTCTCATTAGGACAAGCTTCAGTCAGGTTAAATGATGGGGATACGTTTGTGCTTACAGTTCTGCTGAGGTGCTTTGTGAGTTCACTGGGAAGAGAAGTAGTTAGAGTCATTGCTGAAGTTCCACCTTTGGGACTTAGAGTGTTATGGGAAAGGAAGAGATGGCATGTCCACAGGACATGTGAGGAAGGAAAGATTGGAACCCTGGGTCCCGTGCTTCTCTTTGCTCTATTAATGACCTGATCCAAACCGAGGCATGAGTAGTTTGATTATTGCCCTGTATGAGAACCGAATATTTGAGTGCAGGGGCAGACTTCACACTTCCAGTAGACGCTTCTTCCACTTCTCAGTTCTTGTGCATCCACTCAGTAGTACTGGTATTGAATTAGTTGAGTGTGTCTTTGTCAGCGTGCTGTAGGTGCTGCTACTCATGCTTCCACCCACCTCCAGAGTTATTGGTCTCTTTGACTGAAATTCTCCCTGGGATTTTTCCAAAATGGGAACGTGGCTGTTCTTCCTGTGCCAGTACTTCTGGGATACCAGTTCAGGGAACCAAGTGACAGAGGAGCTGTCGTCAGTCCCTCAACACTGGGTGTCGTCAGCATTTGTCCTGATGGTGTGCACGGAGGGACTCGGCTGTTTTTACAGCACTGTCTTCTGTGCCTAAGAATCCTCTTTTGAAAAGTCACTTTTGTTGTTCAGGCAGCAAAAACATCCTGACTGCATAACATGGTAATGCTAGCAGATCCCTCGCTGCTCTGGGATCACGCTTTGGAATCCTCTTCTCCCATCCAGTACATGAGGGAAGCAATTCTCTCAGTTCTCTTTGTGAGCCCAGGGAATGTCTGGAGATACCCACCAAGGGGAAGCCTGCTGGGTTTGTGAGGCTGAGCCTCACCTCTGGGCTTTCACTACCTGGTGGTGAAGATGCAGGCAGACTTGACTGAGTGCCGGTGATGCTTTGCAGGTGGATTCTGTCATTTCCTCAGACTCGGTCTCAACTGTCAGTAGTGCTTGGAGTCCAAGCCCCACCCACAGGAAGAAGCAGACTGTCCGGATGTTAAATAAGGGTGTTCAAACAGGTGAGTGGCTCCCATGGGAGTTCCCCGTGGCCTTTGGTCGCTTCCAGGGTTTCCAGTTAGGAGGATGAAGTATGGCTTGAATAGAGACATCCGTCGTAGGAAAGAAATGGGAGTTATTAGGCACTTCCCCAACCTTGATCAGAAATTACCTTTTTCATTGTAGAAACATGTCCACTTCAGGAAATACTGCTCCAGTAATGTGTTTATGATCATCCTATCAATTTGTTAGCATTTATTGCATGTCTAATAGATTCTGGGCACTGCGCTGAGCTCTGGGTATGCAAAGCTAAAAGAGTGACAGTCTCTGTCCCTGAAGGGCTCTGGTTTTGCCCATTTTTGTTGGCTCTTGAAGAAGCCCTCCTTCATCTGAGGAGCAGCCATTCAAAGAGCACGTTCATGGGCCAGCCCTGACTTAGGACCACTCACTGGGGCAATTTGAATGAGGTGAATTTTAAAAGGGGTTGGCTGGGTTAGTTCCTTCCATCTGTTTCGACTCTTATTTGTCGGCAGATAAGTAGCTATTGGGTAAACTGGCATCCACAATAAAGCCCTTATACAAAGCCAAGGCCCAGGGTGCCAGCGTTTCTTCTTTGAGGGGAGCCTTTTGTTCAGTACTTCACATATGGGGTGAGACAGGGAGCAAGAAATCGTCTGGGGCTCAGATGGACACCCAGCAGAGACCTTGCGTTCCCATGTTTTCAGGGGAGTAGGGTTGGGTGGTGACAGGCATCTTCCCGCAATGTGTGGTATGAAAAAACCCCCAGCAAAGGGCACTTGCCCAAAACCTCCTGCATTCAGACCAGTCAGAACTGCATTGGAAGACAGACTGTGGAGTCGTACGATATTTGTATCCTCAGGGGAATTGGAGATTGTGAGAAGTACAAGGAAACACACTCGAGATTTTGGGGTGACTTTTCCGACCCCAGATTATAATGTGACTGGTAGAAGAGTAGATAAGTACGTGAACTCTTCAAGTCCAGGGAGCAGTTCAGAAGAAAAGAAGCCTGTGACTGTTCACCTGTGGACCAAGAAGCTGAGGAGGAGTCAGCCTCCTCGCTGCGAAGGTAACCGCCCCCAGCTGCAGGTAACCTTTGTACCCAGCACCTGAAAACTTTCCAGTGTTTGCGTTCTGGCTCTGCCCCCCTCGGCGGCAGTGTCAGTGTCAGGAAGCCCGTGGCTGAGACATGGCTGCCAGCCACCGTCCCAGGTCTGGGAATCTGACAGCTTGGTCCTGAGACTTCGGGCCTGGCTTGGACCAGCGTCTCCGCCCGTTCTGCTCTTGTTTTCCTCGCTTTGGGGATTCCGTTTTCTTTCCCTTCTCTCCTTTAGTACTTACTCCTACCCAATAACCTGAAAGCAGAGGTACAGAGCCCACTTTTCCCTTCCACTACCCACCTCATCCACCTTGCAAAACACAGTAAACTGAGTCAGCTAGAGGAAGGAAAGCGGACCACCTCTCTGTTATCATCCCTTTCTTTCTGCTCCTCTGGATGTTTAACAAGTGTTTTCCTCATCTGGTTTCCAGAAAGATGCCTTGTAAAGGGATTTCTGGGGCTTCCCATTTTGATAAACACCCCATGCTGTCCCCTCCCTGAAGTCTGAGCTGGACTGGGGGCATCAGAATGCTCCTTGTACCCTGTCCCTGCCCACAGGAATGCCAGTGGCTGACCCTGAGAGTCCTCAAAAGCCCTGGCAGTGTGTTTGCTCAGCCCTGTTCCTCTGACAGGTCACAAGAAAGAGCTGAGATGGTGAAAAATGTGACCTTCCACTGCTAGAGATGCCCTCAAAATGGGCACTGAAAGCAGCGTTGAGCTTGGGCTTCTGCCCAGCCTTTCTTGTCCCCCACATCTCTCCTGCCCTTGTGGTCTGAATCCACGTGAATGGCGTCTGTGGCATGGACTCCTTTCTCCCTGTGAGCTAATGGGGCCATGTTTTCTCCCGCTAACTCAGCTTTAAGTCCAAGCAAGCCGTTATTTGGTGGGAGGAAAGGTGTCTTTTGTACCTGGGAGAGGTGTCTGAAACCCTGACGTGGAATTTTCACCCCTTTTCCCCCCTTTCGACAGCATCATCTGTATAGCTGCTGAAACGTTTGACAATGTAATGCGTGTTTGTTGGTGGCATTAAGCATCCTCACCTTTGGCTTAACATCACATTTCTCGGAAGGGCAGGAGGTTTGATTAGAAAATTCACAAAGAATATTCCTCCAATTAGATTAAAAGTATAGTGGTCTCTAAACTTGCTGTTTCCTGGCACTGCTGTGCGTATCCTAGCTGGGTAAGCTTAGATCAGACTTGGAGGGCTGCAGGTGCCTGCCCCTTTCTGCTGGGTGAGGAAGGGTCCTGACCCTGAGAGCCCCTTTCTGCCAGTCTCAGGGGGGGGATTATTTAGATCCTCTTCTAGGCCCACAGGGCCTGTCTGCTGGCCCTGGGCACCCCAGTTACCTGGTTTCCTACCCCTTGCCACTACCTCTGCTGCTGCTGCTTCTCCTTCTCTCTGCACCTGCTGCTGTTTGTTCACGACAGGAGAGTTCAGCCTAGGTAGCACGCCTGTGTTCTCAAAGGGATGAAGTGGGCTGGGCACGAGGGAGGGAACGAGAGAGAAGGGAGGAGGGGCCTGGGGACAGAGGGAGTGAGCAAAATGGCAGGAGGGAGGGAAAGAGCCCAGAGATGGCTTCCCTCAGGTCCCTCCAGCCTTCCTGGCTCACACATTCTTTGGGATGGTAGGCAGGTGCACTTCAGTAACCCAGATGAGCTACAGACGTAGTGTGTGTCCTTTGGAAACTTTTGTGCTCGTAAGTGGTAAGATATGTATGGCCAGCCCTGCCTGGAACCAAATGCAGGAACATGCCGATGGCCTCTGGTATCCGCTGTCCTGGGAAGCGAAAAAAGGTGGTTAGTAAAGGTCTATGGTGAGGAGCACCTGTGCTCTGAGAACTGAGAGCTTGCTTTCTTTTCTCCTTATAAATATTTCCCATAGGGGTTTCCTGGTTTATTCCTGCAGAAAACCTGAGATGTTCCTCCAAGAAAGAGAACCAGAGCAGTTGTGTGTCTGGCCCTGGCCCCTCCTGGTTCGCCCCCCTGACTCACACCAAGCCCTGGAGGCAGCCCCTTCGAGAGCAGAACTGGCAGACGGCGGCAGGGGCAGCGATAGGCTGCAGGTGGCGTCGCCTGGCCTCAGCGATGACAAGGAGGCCCACAGACGATTCGTGAAGGCGGGCCTACAGGTGCGCAGGGCTGTGGCCATGCTGAAAGACAGAACCCTTGGCCGCAGTCTGAGCCAGGGGTCCTCGTGTGACCTGGCCTTCCCAGATGCCTCTTAGACCTGATTGTTATACTGCTGAGTTTTCTCTGCGGGGCCCTTGGCAGTCAGTGGGTAGCAGTGGAAAATCACAGCCTGGGCCCTGGCAGTGCCTTCTTAGTTTTCCTTTGGAAAGTATTCCCTGTGCCTTGTGATTCCACAGACCAGGGTCCTCGTCCTCTGGTTTGGTCCATCTTGGGAGAAGAGTGCCCTTCTTCTCAGGGCAGTGCCTGCTCCTTTTCTTTCTCCTTCAGTGACTTGTCCAAAGTCACACAGTTAGAAAATGGCAGAGCCAGCCTCTGAAGCAGGGCTGTGACGCTCAGTTCAGTGCATCCTCCTGGGCCACACTGCCTTTCTGTGTGTGTCCATCACTTCTGACAAGTTGACCTGGCTCCTCTTGTCCCTGTGGCTTCATGTTTCATTTTTGGTAACGAGATCTCCTCGGCCACAGAACTGTGTTTTATGATTTGAAACATTTGCCCACACAGGCTGGGCATTAGCAGAATGGGCCCGGTTCTCACCCAGGGGATGCTGTTGTCTTCTCTCTGCCCTAGGAGTCCCTGGAGAGGCTCCGCCCTGACTTCATCTCGCGCTCTGGGGCCCGGGTGAAGCGACTCAGGTTAATGATGGAGGAGAGAAAGCTGCAGCGTCTGCTGCAGAGAGAGCGGGATGAGCTGTTCAACACGGCTGAGCAGCAGAGGGAGTCCCAGGACATCGCCTGCTTTCTTTCTAAGAAAGGTACAGAGTGCCCCTCTCTCTTGGCGCTCAGCTGCTGGCTTGGGCAGCAGGATGTTGGGCTTGCCGGGCCAAGGGAAGAAGCCCGTTTCCACGGCCCCTCCTTGCTTTTGTGTGATTACAAACCTGGGACTCGCTAAAGACGGCTTTCATGAATGAGGCTCTCGGCACGGGGATAATTGAGAGGGACAGCTCTTGACGTCTCTCTGCTTCCTCTCTCCCACTTGGGAGACATTACATCAGCCAGGCGTGGAGACAGTCAGTGTAGAGGAGGGGACTTCCCAAGGTGGAGACCCTTGTGAGAGGCCTGTTTCTTCTGACTTCTGACGTGTCCTCGTTGGTAAAATGAGGACCTTTGAAGATTTTCTCCAGGTCGAAAAGTCTCCGTTTTCCTGAAATTGCTGTCCCTGAAGTTTTTCTTCAAAATTGGCTGCACATATATTGGCTCCCTCACAGCTAACTACAGCTACACCTTCCAAAGATAACAGAAAAACATTATAACAAACCCAAAAAGAATTTTTTTTTTTTGCAGGGCAATTGAGGTTAAGCAACTTGCCCAGGGTCACATAGGTAGTAAGTGTCAAGTATCTTGTCTAAGACCGGATTTGAATTCAGGTCCTGCTGACTCCAGGGCCGGTGCTCTATCCACTGTGCCACCTAGCTGCCCCCCCCAAAAGAATATTTTTTAAAAATTTTATTGATTTATTTTGATTTATCAACAATCACTTCCATATGCTTTTGAGTTTAAAATTTTTCTCCCCCTTCCTCCCCACCACCCTCCCCAAGATGGAACACCATCTGGTATAGGCTATACATTTATATTCCTGTTAAACATATTTTCACATTAGTAAAGTTGTAAGTAAGAATTAGAACCAATAAGAGGAATCACCAGAAAGAGGAAACAAAACTCAACAGAAGAGAAAAATAGCAAATAGTATGCTTCGATCTGCATTCGAACCCCATAGTTCTTTCTTTGGATGTGGAGAGCATTTTCTATCACGAGGCTTCTGGAGATGTCTTAGATCCTTGTATTGCTGAGAAGGGTTAAGTTTATCAATATTAGTCATCGCACAACGTGGCTGTTATTGTGTACAACGTTCTCTTGGTTCTGCTCACTTCACTCAGCATCAGACCATATAAGTCTTTCCAGGTTTTTCTGCCTGTTCATCATTTCTTATTGCACAGTAGTATTCCGTTACATTCATATACCACAACTTGCTCAGCCATTCCCCAGTTGATGGGCATCCTCTCAATTTCCAATTCTTTGCCACCACAAAAAGAGAGCTGCTATGAATATTTTTGTACTTGTGGGTCCTTTTCCCATTTGTATGATCTCTTTGGGATATAGCCCTAGAAGTGCTATTGCTGGGTCAAAGGTTATGCACATTTTTATAGCCCTTTGGGCATAGTTCCAAATTGTTCTCCAGAGTGGTTGAATCATTTCACAACTCCACCAACAATGCATTAGTGTTCCAATTTTCCCACATCTTCTCCGACATTTATCATTTTCCTGTTTTATCATCTTGGCCAATCTGATAGGTGTGATGTGGTACCTCAGAATTGTTTTGATTTGCATTTCTCTAATCAGTAATGATTTAGAGCATTCCAAAAAGGGTTTTTAAAAGAACCAAATGAAGTCTTTTTCAATGAGTTTGTGGGCATATGGGCCCATCCTGCCAGGGTTACTGTAAAGTATTCTAGAAAGTTGTCTGGGTATAGTGTTTAGGGTTTACTGATTCCTGACCTCACTAAATTCTACCTAATGAAAGCCCTTTACACCAATCTGAGCTCCCCATCCTCTACAGCGTCCTCAGTAGGAAAAGATCATGACCTGAGTGCTCTCACTCTTACTGAGTGAGAGGTAATGGTTATACTAAAAGTAATCCTGCCAGTGCCAAGCTTAATTATTGGCCTTTCCTATGCTCTCTTGAAACCCAGGACTAAATTCTGGTTTAATAGTGGCAAGCTTTGTGCTGGGGACCAAAGGCAGCATCAGCTGTTAGCTTGTTTTCCCCATCTGCTTCTCAGTGGCCTAGAATTTGCCCTAAGATGAAAAGCGTACGGGGTGTATTCCTGCTGGGCCCCGTGGAGGAGGAGGCTAGAAGAGTCAGCTGACCAAAAAAAGCAATGCTTTTTGTGGCTGCGCAGGTTTGTTAGCGATGGTGCTGTTTTTCCGAGATAGAGATGCTCAGGACCAGTGATCCTCCCTCTTCCAGAGCTGGGGTGTGCCAGGCTCTTGCTTTAGAGCGCATCAAGAGGCCGAGCACTGGGAGGCCTGAAGGCCGGTGAGAAATGAGCAGTTAGCAGCTCTCCCCAGTCCACATGGGAGCTTGGTTCAGGTCAGGCTGTTCTTGAAGTCCCTGGGCCTGTGCCTCACCTCATAGGTTGCGCTTCCTTCCTCTCTCTGCCTGTCTCAGCTGGACACTGGGAGGCATTCGTGGAAAGCTATTTTTAAGACCATTCAAAGAGCCATGGAAAATGCACTCCTGAGGACAAATGTACCTCGTTTGAAAGTTGTTTTGTTTGAGTCAACCTGTGTTTATGGAGTACGCCATGTTGGGGACATTGGGGACTGAAAAAGGAGTTGAATAGTTGGTCATTAAGCTCTAGAGTAAAAGTCTGAGGCCAAACATGAACCCTCTCATTTGTTCCCCTTTCTGGGGCCCATCTGGCTCACCTCCATCCCTGATGTTCCTAGCAGAGCTAAAAGCTCAGATTTCCCAACCGTCTGCTCAGAGAGCAGGAACCACTGAGTCACTAACCCTCTGTGGCTTCTGTAAAGATGCTCCTCCCACCCTCCTTTGGATTTCAGCAACATATGTAATTGTTGTGCACTCCTATTAGGTTAGGCAGTCTGAAAATGAGGGCCATATTTTATTTTTCTCCCATCCTGCCTAGCTTGGGGCCTTATACTAGGAGGAGAGCCTGTATAGTGGAGCTGAAGTCATCATGAAGTTAATGAGGATGATCCCTCCCACTGATACAGCACCTACTGTGTGCCAGCTTGGACTACAAAGGAAGGCAAAAAGCAGAGTAATGGGGACAACATGTTAACAACTGTGAACGTACTGGACGTAGCTGGAATACCCTGGAGATGACCTCAGGGGGCAGCAAAGATTGAGGAGGATGAGAAAGGCTTCCTGCAGAAGTTGGGGGAGAGTTCTCATTGTGAGGGAAGGAGTGCAAGCAGCATGAGGCCGTTGTCACTGGGTCATAGAGGATGGGAAGGAGACCCAGGCATATGAGGCCTGGAAAGGTAGGAAGGGGCCACATTATTCAAACGACATGAGTTATTTGACCCTGGGGTCTGTTGAATGAAGCAGTGATGGGGTCAGACCACTTTGGCTACAGAGTGGAGGAAGATGGACTGGGGTGGGACTTAATGCATTATTTATACGTGTGATCTCTCTTGGTCAGGGATTAGTCAGAAAAGGCTTCGCATAATTTAGTCAAATGCTGTTCCCCAGTTGTCTGTTAGTGACAGTAAGACCCAGATGAAATCTTGTAACTCCAGGTAGTGTGGAATGAGGGCTGGTTCCATTTTTCCGATACTCTCCATATGATCTCTGAGCAGCACGCCTTCTCTTTCTCAGTATCAGGCCAGCCTTGCCTGGGGAACATGGCTTTTGGAATTTTGGGAGTTGGGTAAAAAGTTTGGAAACTATTGTCATGAAACCACTTTTGACTGAGAACATGTGTCCCTTTGCCTAGGTTACATGACTATGAGGAACAGGACAATAACCAAGAAGGAAATGGTACAGCGATCGAAAAGGTGAGGCGCCAGGTGGGGCTGATGATTCCCCTGAACAGCGGTGTTTGTATGTGGTCAAGGCAAGTTTTTTCTGACCTAGGGACTTTCTTAGGAGAAGAAATCTAAGTAGATGTAAGGAAGCACAGCCTGGATTAATAGGTGTTCATTGAGAACCTTTTGGAAAATCAGGTCGACAAATATTCACGAAATGCTGTTTGATTACATTCTGATACACCCCAGGTGGCTAAAACTAGGCTAACCATCTATTTCCTGATAGAGGTCAGTGATGGTAGATGGAACTAAACTAGGAATTTTAGTTATCACATCGCTCTGTAAATCGGTACTTCTGAAGTGCCTCAACAGAATGTAGCCTTCAGTTTAAGGCCTTCCCCCCGCACCCCATTTTTGTACTGCCAGCAAACCATCTCTGTGTATTCAGCCAAAAGGACAGATTTCAGCCTAGCCTGTCATCTGAGTAATCACAGATCTGAATCGCTGCAGGCGCTCCCTTCTACAGTGAATGTGACTGATGAAGTTTTACTGTATTATTTGTCTTGTAATAGTTGGTGTTACAGATGATTTTGTAAGTGTCATATCTTAGTTGTGATAGTAGTAATGATAACAGCTGGCATTTATATAGTACTCTAAGGTTTGAAAATCCTCTTATATATCATCTCTTTTTAATCTCACAACAACCCTGGAAGGTGGGTGCGATGGTTTTTTCCATTTTTCAGATGAGGAAATGGGCCAGACAGAGGTTAAGTGACTTGTGCAGGGTCACACAGCTGGTAAAAGCCTGAGACCAAATTTGAGCTTTGGTCTTTCTGACTCTGTTCACTGTGCCCGCTAGCTACTAGATTAGAAGCTCCATGAGGGCAGGACCGCGTCTTACTTATCTTTGCACCTTCCCAGTGTCTGTCACACAGCATTTAATACCATGAGCACTAAATAAGTGTGGAATAATGGGCTCCTCCTTGTGTTGTGATCTTGCCTCACATAGGTTGTGTCCAAAAAAAGTCTCAGTCTGTAGTCTGAGTTGATCCGTTTATTTGTTTTTATGCACATTGTTGTTCTGGTTCTGCTAGCCTCCCTCTGCATCAGTTCAGAAAGGTCTTCCTGTGCTTCTCTGAAAGCATCTCCTTCATCATTCCTCATAGCACAATAGTATTCGATCTCACACGAGTGGAATGTGATGTCATAACTTATTTCAGTCACTACCCAGTTAATGGGAACCCCCCATTCATCTGTTTATAGTTCTCTGAAGTCAGAGCTGCTGTAAATATTTTTGTCCATATGGGTTCTTTTCCCGTTTCTTTAATCTCTTTAGGCTATAGGCTGAGAAGTGGTGCCGCTGAGTCAAAAGGTCTGCACAGTTTAATAGCTTTTCGGGCATAGTTCCAATTGTTTTCCAGAATGATTGTATGGCTATCAATAACTATGTAGCTCTTCTGAAGATTAAGCTTTTTTTTTTAATGTTATACAGTGCTTTTATTTTTTTAAAATTTTATTAATTTATTTTGATTTATCAACAATCACTTCTATATGCTTTTGAGTTGACAATTTTTCTGCCCCTTCCTCTCCCCCACGCTCCCCAAGACAGCGCATAATCTGATATAGGCTTTGCATTTACATACCCATTAAACGTATTTTCACGTTAGTGAAGTTGTAAGTAAAAATTAAAACCAATAGGAGGAACCATCAGAAAGATGAAACAAAACTCAACAGAAGGTAAAAATAAGTGATAGCAATTTGCCTTCCATAGTTCTTTCTTTAGATGTGGACGCCATTTTCTGTCCCGAGGCCTCTGGAGATGGCTTAGATCCTCATAATGCTGAGAAGGGTTCACTTTAACAATCTTAGTCATTGCATAACGTGGCTGCTATTGTGTACAAAGTCCTCTTGGTTCTGCTCACTTCACTCAGCATCAGACCATATAAGTCTTTCCAGGTTTTTCTGAAGTCGGCCTGTTCATCATTTCTTATAGCACAATAGTATTCCATTACATTCATATACCACAACTTGCTCAGCCATTCCCCAATGGATGGGCATCCTCTCAATTTCCAATTCTTTGCCACCACAAAAAGAGCTGCTATGAATATTTTTGTACCATGTGGGTCCTTTTCCCATTTGTTTGATTGAAGATTAAGCTTTTCTAAAAACAGGGCTTATCATTAGACTGTTTAACCTGCTTCATGCTGAAGATCTCTTCCCTTCCCTCTGTCCCTTAGATCTCTGGGCTCTAATCTTATTTTAGTACTAAAAATAAACCCTTTCATATCTGAGGTCTTTATACTAGCTGAACATGTTACTTTGATGTTTGCTTAGGGGGAAGACATGGGGAATAGTGGGTTGTTTTTAAGATTGTTTTTAACTTTCAAATATCAATATGCTTACATGGATATATTTACATGTACAGTATGTATCAGTCTTTTGGAAAGACCCCTAAATTATAAATTGAAGAGTACTGGGCTTTGGTTTCATTAGTGTCTTTACCACGTCTTTTAGCCAGCTGTTGCCATGGTCATAGGAAAAATAAGAATTAAACCCATTCATTGGATTATGGATTCAGAGACAGAAGGGTCCATCCAGGTTCCCCAATCCAACTGCCATCATTGACAGATTAGGAAACTGAGGTCCAGAGAGGTTAAGAGAAGACTCCTGGTCACAATAGCTGAGTTTTAGGTATTTGTAGGGCTTTGCTGTGGAGAAGGGCTAAGACTTGTTCTATTTGCCTGAGAGGGCAGAAGGAGGCAACTAAGAGGCAAATGTCAGCTTGATGTCCAGGAACATTTCTTCACCATGGCAGCTGTGCCAAGGCTGTGTGACCATTTGTTGGCCGAGTCCTAGTGGCTGTTCCTTTTGTATGTGGGTTACAGTAGGGAGGCCCTCTCAAATCCTGGGCTTCTGAGGGGCAGGCGTGCACCCACAGGAGGCGAGCCCGAGGTGGGATGCGTGGCAGCCCTGTTAGAGAGAGAATTGGAAGAGGAAAGCTCACAATGTGGTATGAAGGCTGGAGCTGCTGTACTTAGCTGTGACCCTTTTTTAAATCTAAAGATTAAGAGAGTGAATGACTGAAGTCTGAAGTCAGGGGGCTTGGTGTTGCAGCTTATGGTGCACCTGTCTCTCCTTCTTAGGAGATAGCCGGGATGGTCCTGTTGTAGACAGTTGGATAGATGCCATGAAGGCCCTTCGACTCCTTCTGAACTTTGGGAACTCCAGCACCCTCATCCATGGAAGGTAGATTTTGAGATCAGAAACACATCTGTCCCCTGGCTTGGTTACCTTTCTTCCTCTTTGTGCTTTCTAAACAATAGCAAAAATAGTGATGGCCTTCCTGTGGGAGGTGTGGGTTCCTCACACTTTGCTCTTCATATCCTCACCCAGACTTGAGATGACCCCCAGAGAAGAAGCCAGGCACGAGCCTCTCTCATGCTCTATAGATTCCTGCCTGTCATTCCCCAGTCGGGTGCTTCATACATAGGTCAGGTCTGTGGGCGGAGAATTCAAGTGGAGATAAACTCTTAATTCACCTAAATTTGGGGAAAAGACAATAGTATAGTCTGTGGTCAGAAGGTTTAAGAAAGATGTTTGAAGAAAGGTGTGACATATGAACGAGGCTTTGGGTAATTACGTATTTTCAGGTCCAAGATCTGTGGTCTCATGGATTTCAGCATTCCCTCTAACAATGCAGATTACCACCCAACCAGGCCTGCCTAAATGAGATGATGTCATCCACGTCCTCCCCCACCCAGGGCACTGGCAGCCCTCTGTACTGCTGGCTCTTCGGGCTGTCCACCCATCTTTGCTCAGTCTCACCATGGTACTGGAACATTTGCTCTTCCCCATACGGTTCACTGATGACATTCTTCAGCTTTTCCTTGGAAAAGCTGCCTGCCTACGCCCATCGAGGGCCTCTCAGTTGCCCACTGTGTTCATCTTTAATTCTTGGAGGCAGGGCTATTCCAGGTCTCACTGCCATACAGCAGCCCCAGGGAAATGTTTGTATTGAAAAGACAGATCTTTCCTTTTATTTTGGCATCATACAGAGTGCTTTGTATGACCCTTCCTCCTTTCTCTCCTCAGGGTCAAGCTCTGTTGTTCTCTGTTGTCAGTCCCAGATAGCAATACTTTTGGGTAGGGTGGGGAGCCTGCGGCCTTGAAGCCACATGTGGCCGCCTAGGTCTTTGGTTGTGGCCTTTTGTCTGAGTCCAAGTTTTACAGAACAAATCCTTTTATGAAGGGGATTTGTTCTGTGAAGTTTGGATTCAGTCAGTCAGAGGGCTCCACTTGAGGACCTAGAGGGCCACATGTGGCCTCATAGCCCAAGGTTCCCCACTCCTGCTCTTGGGCAAACTCTGTAGCATGTCCATTCTGGTGGATATTGGAATATGGGCAATAGATAGGCTATATCTATTTGGTCTTTCCTGTGGGGATGGATGGGCCAGACTCATTCTGAGTCATTCTAGATCACTCCAGGAGACTGTAGTGTCTTGGAGTTTGATGCAACTAATACAGTATCAACCACAAAGTCAAAGGGCTGAAACAAATAGAAGAAATTGTGAAATATCTCACTGGAAATACAACTGACCTGGAAAAAAGATGGAGGAGAAAATATTTAAGAAACATTGAACTATCTGAATGCCATGATTTAAAAAAGAGGCTAGGTATCTATTTCAAGAATTTTAAAAGAAAACTGCCAAATCTCTTAGAACTAGAAATAGAAAGAGTCACCTCCTGAAAGAAACCCCAAATGAAAACTTCCAGGAGCATGACAACATGAAATCCACAGCTCATAGGTCAAAGGAAAAGTACTGCAAGCAGCCAGGAAGAAAGAATTCACATATGGAAGAGCCACAGACAGGCTCACACACAGCTCAGCAGCAATCCCTGTAACGCCGTAGGAAACTCAGAATGCGGTATTCCAGACGGCAAGGATGGAGACTTACAGTCGAGAGTAACCTACCGAGCACAACTGAATATAATCCTGCAGGGGCAAAAATGGACCTTTCACGAAATAGAAG